TGATTTCATACTCATCCCCAAGAAGATAATGTGGGTGTTTCGTCTGGAGGCATATGTGGTCTGCCGACCTCAAAAGTGACAAGCAGTATAGGGCTACTGAAAAAGTATATCATTTGACAAAATAATCGATTAACCATCTGAATTCTACTGCCACAGTGTTTCGCAGATCACTGGAGTCCCCACGATAGAGTGGCTGAGATCTTTGAACCGAAAAGCCAATGCTCCCAAGAAACAAAACAACTGTTCAACCGCCAATTTTAAGGAGCGTTTCATTGAAAGGGAGTGATAAACTGTGAATGAAACGCTTTAGGTCAGGTTGACAAATTTACATCACTGGTGAAATAATATCCAGGAGAAATATGTAGGTGTTTAATTGGTCGGATATTCTCCGTACAAATTAGTGCAAAGATAGAGATCCTAACAACGGCAATCATAAAGGTCATAAAATGCACTTTTGGAAGGGTGTACATTATTCATGCAAAATGAAACACATTGTAAAAAAGGTGTGTGAACATAACTACCATGAATCAGAATGTTTAATGTGTTACAAACGATATCCATGCCACTTCGGAAATCTGAGTTGAACAACAAAACGATGTACATTTTTGTGCATGTATATATACATGCATATATTGGTATCATCGTCATCACAAAATGCACTACTAATTCCAGCAGTGTTCAAAATCCAATTGAAGCCATTTAATCAGGCGCCAAAACGAATGAAAGTGGGAATCGTGGAGATCCGGTAGGTGCACATGTCCGCAAAGACATCGAGCATTCGGGCGAAATTTTCCGATTAGTGTAAGAAACACATGCGAGGACCGGTTCAAATGGCTTGGACGGTATAATTTTTCGAAGAAGTTTTCCAAAAGTTCTCTTCATATAGATAAAATGTACACCTCACCAAATTTTAAAGTGAAACATTAAAATTTTCCAAATAGTAGTTATAAAACAAGGTTATTAGTATACGTGAATATGCTCAATTCATTCTTTTGGGGGAAACCCTGTCAGTTCCGTTCCTCTCCAGCTCTAAGTTGGAAATGAGAACGCAATTTTGGTTGATATTCCCTATCTGTAGGCATCCTGGATTTAAATTCGTGAGGTGAATGTTTCTAGCTATGAAGGTTATGAACCTAACAAATACTATTACTAGATTTTTTCATCAGAATTTCTTCCGTCCATGCAGTGAATTTGGCTTATGACTTTTGGATGAATTATGGCTGCGATCCCAAGACAACAATTGTTACCATGCATGTGGGTTTTTCCAATTTCGAGGAGTAAAAAGGTCGGTGAACCTGATTCAACATCTATCCAAGGTTCTTGGTTTCAATTAAAGGTGAAGCACTGAACGAGTACTGTTCTTGATTACTCAGTGACCCAAGTGAGATACAGAAAGCGCATAGGACGAACGAATAAAACTTCTTTAATATGCCTTTGTTTTAAAATGCATTATTTTTTAATATTTTTTGTTATTTCAGACTTTTTATTGCATTATTCGCTAAGGTATGCTCTTCTAATATGAAGGAAAGTGTAGAGCACTTTTGTTGAAATCGATGACATTTGAGGCACTTGAACCGGTTCTCCCATGAAGTGTGCTTCATTGCAATTTGAAGGTTTAGCCAACAATACACGAATGACCGTGAACCTGGTGACAGTTGATGCATGTAAAGGAGTTTGGTCCTCGCGAAAATTGGCCCAAATCACGTGAAAATTACACTTCAATTAATTTCGTAAGTCGCCGAATGTCTTAGGTGTTTTATTCATGCAGTTCAGACATTCGCATTTGACTCGGACATAACGCTGAAACAGATTGGACAAACCTTCATCATATATATATATATCTATATATCTATATATGATTAACGGACGACTTATATGGAGTGGATCATGAGAACAGTAAATTGTGTTTCCCCCAAACCATTTATTCTACTCAAGAGTACGTACTGAATGCTCGCCATATTTCTTCAATGGCAAATAAAATCTGCGGAACCTAAGACAATGATGACAAAATAAAATGTGTACACTTGTTTCTGTTTGTTTGATTTCATTTTCAGTGCGAATCCATCGATCCAGCCGAGGATTGAACACAAAATCTCACAAGCATACTATTCATCTCTAAACCAATATTACAACATACCATCCACACAAGTTTTTTGTGGACATCTAACCTCGTCTATGTCAGTGATATAATACCAAAAAGTCAGAACAACTTTACACTGCTTCATAGATTTTCACATCAAGATCAGATTCGGAGGTTCCTAACCGGGATGTTTTGAGTAAAGTGGCACTAAAATTCCCCCACTGGTTTGGACTGGTTCCATGTGTGCAAAAGAGCTCATGAATTACCGAATATTTATTTCTTTTACCCAGATTTGATGTGAAATTGGATCCCCAAGGGGTACATGATCAAACGCAATGAGTATCACTCAGAACTCATTTTAACCGCACATATCCAGAATCACTTGTACCATTTTTTTGGTATCGTAACCACGACGGCAAAGATTTTCGAATTTGACCAATTCAGTGGCTACTTGAGGGACCTGAAATGAGTGAAATATTAGAGCATTAGAACATGATAATATATAACCAGGGGATTATTGAATACATTTTAATGCAAAATTGTATGGCGTTGTTATTTTAGTGAATGGTTGCTTGACTAATGTATAGAGATCTATTATTGCAAAAGCAATGTAGGTGCTGGGAGGATCCATGCCATGGAATTTCGTTGGATCTACGACCAATCAATTCTCATTATCTTTTGTTCAACTGATCTGCTTATCACTACAATTAACGAACAGATGATTAATTTTTCGCCCGTTCGAGTGTGATTAATCAACTCAACTGGTGGTAGTAAATCATCTCCGTCGGCAGAAGGGAAAGGCATTCATGCAGCCGAGCAGATGAGCATATCCCGGATCAGTGTCTAACGTGGCTCATTACTCCTCGTCTCAGGGCCTATTGCGGCTATTTCCACAACTGAATAATAGGTGCCCGTGACGAAGATGCTTAGTGCTGCAGTTAGTCATCATAAACTGTGCAATAAATAAACTTACATTGAACTGACCTCCAAAATAGTTTATTAATCGTAATGAGAATGAAGATGTTTGCGGGTATTCCCTGAAAGTTCTTTGGCTCACGGGCCTGTTTAGTATTGTGTTTTGGTGGGTTCCCTACCTTGAAAACTCAATTAATCCTCGCATGCTCAGCACACATGACTTATCAACGAGTTCGTGCGATTCCTTACAGTGTTAAACAGACTTTGGTAACCTTTGTTCCCCATTAGGAGAATTCGTTTGCAAACAAAAATTGTACATTGGGTTACTGAGACGCGCTGCATACGTTCCGCTTTCTGCCTTATCGAATACGTGACTTTGATGATTTAAAGCAACAAGCTAGCGCCAGCCAAGAAGCTATACGTTATAGACTCGCGACAACGAATAAGGGGCCATTATTCTGGACCAGATAAATTCTGTACGGTCCATTCGGGAGTAGTTCTGCTGGAAGAAAACAAATGTTGATTGATGAACATATTCATGGCCAACGGTATATTCATTTACATATTACTTAAATTGTAAGGTTTCTTCCAACAAACTAACTGATTTGTCTTGGGCCTTCTTTCGACGTCTCGTTAGTCTATTGCGTGCGCTATCGCGATTGCGATTAAATATCACTAATACTCTGAGTTTTACGTGTGTCATTCAGGAACATTTGATCATATTGCAAATTTATGCGCTATCAGATTTGTTCGATAAACATTAGCAAAAAGATGAAGAAGCTTTTATGAATAGTGGATTACTCAAATGTATTATTTCAGTTTTAGATTTACTGTTGTTATATCACTCCCTATATGAATAGCATACGATAGAAAGTCAGTGTGAAATACAAAAGTGTCAAGAGCTTTCACGACACGCTGTACAGAGTTGCAGTCGATCATGTGACGGCCAGAGCCTGTGTCATAGCCACAGGAATAGACCATGCTCTAATGAGGTTAGAGGATTTTTAGTTTTGTCGCATGATAAAAAAACACATTGGTTAAAAAGATTTGAATGATTATTCATTGAGCATTTCAGCATTTTCTTCCAGAAAAAAGAGAATGCTGTGAAAGTCGTATGAATATACCTGAAACAGTTAGGAAACGTCATCGGAACATTCCATGAAACCATCCAACTCGATAGTGACCAACTAGCTAGTTATTCGCGTTTTCAGGAACCACTGTATAGTGAATGGTTTTGCTAGGTTTTAATTGTTGAAGTCCTTTCCATTGAACCTAATATACCCCATAGTGTTAGTACGCACCATGACAGTGCACTGTGATCCACAGTAAAATTTGATGGAACAAACAACTTTTAGAATTTGTAATCTACGATAACGATCAA